GGCCCCAAGAGTCTACAATTGTTAATTTTCCATGGTGTTTCTCGATGTTTTTTGCTTTTCCGCCTTTTCGGCTTCCCGACGCTCCAAGACGGCCAAAGAGGCCCCATAGACAGCCCCAAGATGGCCCAAGAGGCCCCCAAGACGGCCTCCAGACGGCCCACGACGGCCCCAACACGGCCCAAGAGGTCCCCAAGACGGCCCAAGAAGGCTCCAAGACGGCACCAATAGGGGCCCAAGAGGGCGACCAAACATGTTGAAACTCTAGTGTTCTGCCCCCAGGAGCCCCAGGGGGCCACAAGAGTGCCCCAAGAGGCCCCCAGAGGCCCTCACGAGGCCGCCCAGACGCCCCAAGGAACCCCAAGAAGCACCCCAAAGGCTCCGAAACGGCCCCCGAGTGGCTCCAAAACTCGCGGTGTCGCCGTCCGCTCGGACCTCCCCGCGGAACTGCCCGAGACCCTCTGGCGGTGGCGGCGAACAGACACCAAACAAATATCACTCGCCTTTTCACCCCTTCGCAGCTTCTACTACCCCCAGATTGGCATAAACAAGGGGTCGGCGGTGTGGCGTAAGCCTAAGAATCTCAAGCGGGAGCGCCGTTCCTGAGCAAATTGCACGGAAGTCTCAAGCGGGAGCGGGGGTCCTCACTAAATTGCGAGGAAGTCTCAGGCGGGAGCGCCGTTCCTGAGTCAATTGCGCGGAAATGTCAAGCAGGAGCGGGGGTCCTGAGTAAAATTCGAAGAAGTCTCAAGCGGGAGCGCCGTTCCCGCGTAAATTGCACGGAAGTCTCAGGCGGGAGCGGGGTCTTGATTACATTGCGAGGAAGTCTCAGACGGGAGCGCCTTTCCTGAGTAAAAATCGAGGAAGTCTCAGGCGGGAGCCGTTGTTGTTGTAGCCCGGGGGGCAGGGGCACAGTTTGAGCAGGAAGACTTTCCTGGAGAAAAAACAAGGTGCGAGCCCCGGGGGTGGCACTTCAATCGAAGAAAATGAATGTGCACCGGTGGGGGATCACCAATAATTATTCTTCAAGAATGAGAGTTCAACAACAACAACAACAACAACAATTACTAGCACGTGGGGACACTCCGTTCTCACCAGTGCCAGGGTTTTCATAGGAGGCGGGCAATACCCCCACTTTGTGGGGGGGCCGGTTCAAGCTCTACCAAATTTCCAAACGACTCTTCGCCACCACCCACACCCAGCTTCCCGCCCTATGACGTTCGGACACTTCACTTCGTGGCATGCGGACGACCGTGGCTACTATTCAGGGCCCCGCGGCCGACGACGACGGCGTGCGCGCGCGAAGAAAAAACGAATGTGTCCCGCATGGTATTATTTGACAGGGATGATGGCCCTGGCAGGTGCGCAACCGTTGTCGCAGAAGTTCGAAAAAGTTGCTCGCAAAAGCCCGTTTGACAGAAATGTTTAAAAAGTGTTGGGTTTCCTACGAATCCGCAAGAGCGCGCGGGATGAGATTTTGACATTTTTTTGTTGAAAAACCATTGGTTTTTTGATGTTTTTATGTTAAAATCGCTCCGAACACTAAGCTTTTGGAAGGATTTCGTCTTGCGCGCGCGAATGTCCACTTTACCTTATTTTTTGCAAGGGATTCTTGAAATTTGATTATATTAGAACAAGAAATGTCATTTTATAGTGTTTTTTGCAAGGGAAAACGGATTACAACAAAACAACCGGATCTGGATCACATCGTTTTACCTGAGGCTTCCTCACGAAAATGATGAAAATGCAGCTGCGGCCTAGGCGGCGCAGGGGGGGCGTGCACCAGGGGGCCCAACAATAATTATTCTTTAGAATAAATAATGTTCAACAACAACAAACAACAACAACAACAACAACAACAACAACAACAACAACAACAACAACAACAACAACAATTACTAGCACGTGGGGACACTCCGTTCTCACCAGTGCCAGGGTTTTCATAGGAGGCGGGCAATACCCCCACTTTGTGGGGGGGCCGGTTCAAGCTCTACCAAATTTCCAAACGACTCTTCGCCACCACCCACACCCAGCTTCCCGCCCTATGACGTTCGGACACTTCACTTCGTGGCATGCGGACGACCGTGGCTACTATTCAGGGCCCCGCGGCCGACGACGACGGCGTGCGCGCGCGAAGAAAAAACGAATGTGTCCCGCATGGTATTATTTGACAGGGATGATGGCCCTGGCAGGTGCGCAACCGTTGTTGCAGAAGTTCGAAAAAGTTGCTCGCAAAAGCCCGTTTGACAGAAATGTTTAAAAAGTGTTGGGTTTCCTACGAATCCGCAAGAGCGCGCGGGATGAGATTTTGACATTTTTTTGTTGAAAAACCATTGGTTTTTTGATGTTTTTATGTTAAAATCGCTCCGAACACTAAGCTTTTGGAAGGATTTCGTCTTGCGCGCGCGAATGTCCACTTTACCTTATTTTTTGCAAGGGATTCTTGAAATTTGATTATATTAGAACAAGAAATGTCATTTTATAGTGTTTTTTGCAAGGGAAAACGGATTACAACAAAACAGCCGGATCTGGATCACATCGTTTTACCTGAGGCTTCCTCACGAAAATGATGAAAATGTAGCTGCGGCCTAGGCGGCGCGAGGGGGGGCGTGCACCAGGGGGCCCAACAATAATTATTCTTTAGAAGTAATAATATTCAACAACAACAACAACAACAACAACAACGACAACAGCAACAATCATTTCAAGACTGTTCACCCTTATCTGCTCGAATGCCCAATAACGCGTATTTCCCAAAACCTCGATACTGGCCCTCTTCGTCTTCGATCGAACCCCTTTTGGCGGGTATACCTTTCTTCCCTGCAGGCGGGGCCCCGGCAAGCGGCGGGGCGGCCGCGGACCGTCGGCCTGGCCAGCGGCAGCGCTGATCGGCGGGGCGGCCGCGGACCGTCGACCCGACCCCAAGAGGGACGGACAGGGGACCGACCACGACGACGACGTCGACGACGACGGCGACGACGACGACGGCGACGACGTTGACGAGCGAAAGCGAGAGCGAGAGAGAACGACAGCAGGGCCACAAGGACATGACGTAGGCCACGAAGGGCGACAGCGGGGCCACGAAGGGAATGCGTATGGGGCCACGAAGAGCGCGACCGAGCGGGGGCCACGAAGGGCATACGTATACTGGGCCGCGGAGGGCAAGGACGGGGCCACTGAGGGCAGTAACGGGGCCACGAAGGGCAGCGAGGGGGCCACGAAGGGCGACAGCGGGGCCACGAAGGGCAGGAAGGGGGCCACGAAGGGCGACAATGGGGCCACGAAGGGCATGCGCATGGGGCCACGACGAGCGCGAACGATCGGGGGCCACGAAGAGCAGATCATGCGGGGCCACAGAAGGTAACGACGGGGCCACTGAAGGTAGCAACTGGGCCACGTAGGACAGTGAGGGGGCCACAGACGGCGACAGCGGGGCCACGAAGGGCATGCACATGGGACCACAACGGGCGCGAACGAACGGGGGCCACGAAGGGCATACGTATACTGGGCCGCGGAGGGCAAGGACGGGGCCACCGAGGCAGCAACGGGGCCACGAAGGGCAGCGAGGGGGCCACGAAGGGCGACAGCGGGGCCACGACGGGCATGCGTATGGGGCCACCACGGGCGCGAACGAGCGGGGGCCACGAAGGGCATACATATCTGGGGCCACGAAAAGCAGCGAGGGGGCCACGAAGGGCAGCGAGGGGGCCGCGAAGGGCTGCAACGGGGCAACGAAGGGCATACATATACTGGGTGTGTGTGTGCATGTGTATGTGTATGTGTATGTGTATGTGTATGTGTATGTGTATGTGTATGTGTATGTGTATGTGTATGTGTATGTGTATGTGTATGTGTATGTGTATGTGTATGTGTATGTGTATGTGTATGTGTATGTGTATGTGTGTGTGCTGTTCCCTGTTGCGTGGGCGTGCGGAGGAGGAGTCCTCCCCCCAACTCCAGCAGCAGCCACGCCATCACCACCATTAGATCCGTATGACGTAGCTTGCATTTTCTATCAAGCTAGGGGCCTTGACCTCTAGGTACTGGCTGGGCCGTGCGGAGCTGTAATTAAGGCAATGGAGCCCAGTGCCGAGAAGATGCCGCAGGCGAGGTGCAAGCCCATGCCCCGCCCCAAGCCTGAGCCGCCCCAGCCCAAGGCTATAGGCACGAGGCCTGGCGAGTACGGCTTCTAGGGGAGGGAGCCGTGGCTCAGGCCCAAAGCCCCAGAGGGCCCACCACCTGCCCACCTCATAGAGTCCCAGAGAAGAAGCAGAAGAAGAAGCAGAAGAAGGAGAGTGTGGGGGGTGGCAGTGGCCAGCGGCACAAGTTGAAGGCTGACCAGCTTAACATTTTCAAGATGAACCTGGCCAAGGTTCAGGAGTATGTACGCCACCTCAAGTGCAAGTTGAGGGACAACGGCGTTTCGAGCAGCTCTGACTTGGACTGAGTGCCAGCCTGGCTAAGCGTAGGGCGAATAAGGATTAAGGTTTCATCTGTATCAGGGGATAATAGTATGGATCATAATATATAACAGCACTCGCCCTATAGCTCGTAGGAGTAGACAAGGTTATCCTAGGCACTGCTGGCGCCAGCTCAGTCACACAGTCAAGCTGCTCTTATAATTTCTATAAGAGGGGCCCTAAGTGTTATGAGGAATGGGCAGCAGCAGGAGGAAGGTCAGTAAGAAGGGTAGAAGGGCCCCGCTTCCCCCTCCCCCCTCCCGCCCACAACGTGGACTTCCACGAGTACGTGCTGCTGTACAGCAGCGCCAAGGGCAGGGACTTTGGGGATGGAGGGAGACCTGTTTCCCACCCTCTCTCTTCCCATCTCTCTCTCTCTCTCTCTCTCCCTATCCTCTCTTTTCTAAAGGTAGGCTTGAGCTGCCTTCACAGCTTGCTTGCATGTTGTGTTGTGCTCGCCGACCCTTCATGCTGTGTCTGTGTCTGAGGAGGAGGAGGAGGAGGAGCAGGAGGAGGAGGAGGGATGGGGCCCCGCCCCAAGGCCTCCAGCACCCGAGCCAGGCCGTCGTGGGAGGCCCAGGTGCTTTCGTGGTCCGGGCCGAGCTCGCTCTGCCTGGGGGGGCGACGGCAACCCACATGCACCGACCCCGGCGAGGCCCCTGCTGCGAGGCGGGGTTTATCCATGCGTATCCACCGCCTGGGAACCGACGTCTTGGGGGCCCAGCGGGCGGTGGATATGGATATGTTTTGGCCCCCGGGGCCCGAATATACCCGTATCCACCGCCTGCGGAGGTCCGCGACGATTGATCCTCCAGGCGGTGGTTATGGACAAATCCCAAGCTTGGACCTCCCATCCTGGGCCCGGGATTGGTATTGCCATGCCTGCTGGTGTGGTCTCCCGAGGAATGATTCCGACCGTGCGGCCGACCCCGCGGCCTGGCCCCTGCGAAGCCCTCCCCTCCAAGCACCTCCCTGGTCTCCTCCCTCCCGTCTTCTTCTGCCACGTGCCGTCCAAGACGAGATATGAAGGACTCCTGGAAGCCAACGAGGCCTCGACAGCTATCCGTCGGGCCCCCTGACGGGCCCCAAGAGGCCGCAAGACAATTGACGCAAATCGCCATGGCTTTCGCATATGTTCGGACATTTTCCCTAGACGGGCCCCGGATGCTGCCCAGAAAGTCCACGGGGCTCACGCGACTCGCCAAGACTGCCCCAGCGGCCCGCAAGACAGGCCAAGATGGCCTCAGAGCTCGTCCCAGGGCGGCCCCACGACGGCCCAAGACCGCCCCCAGAGCCCAGAGGACCCCGAGGCGCCCCCAAGGCCCTCCAACCCGTCCCAAACAGGCCCAAGGGCCCCCGAAACTGCCCCACGAGACCCCGAAAGAGCCTCGGATGGCCCCAGAAGAGCGCCGGGATTAGAGACGTCCCTCACGGGGTTCCGAGAAGATGGATGGGGTTAGAGGATCGCGCCGCGTAGCCGATGCATCACAGGTGCATCGGCGACGTCGGCGATGCATCGGCGCAGTCAGCGTGGAGAAAATCGGGATCCACATCGAGCCGCATCGCCGATGCATCGCCGATGCGGCGCGATCCTCCGACCCCATCTGCTCCGACCCCATCTGGGAGGCCTAGAAGGATGGCCCCGCCTCTTTCCAAACCTTCACTGTCTGGCCTGCCCACAGCATTGCTCCTGGGCGCGCGCTACCACTTCTCACTGCGCGACCTCCCGGCTTGACCACGAAGGCGTGTGCACCGATGCTGCGCGCCCATCCTGGTCGCAAGATCGATATGGAAGCGCGCGGAAGCACTTGCTGTCTCGAGAAGGGAGCGGGCAACGGCTCGGGCGGCCGCCAGTGGGCGGAAGGCCACCCGCAGCCCGGCTCTGGACGGCGTCCCACGCATACTGAGGTGACTCAGTCCCTCCACCACCCCCCCAACCCCCTCCTTCAAAGGGGCTGCGCAACAGGTAGGAGCTCGTGTCCATGCCTGTTCGAGTTGCTGGGCAGGCCGAAGACATGGGTCGGCCTCTATTACGATCGGACCTAGGACAGAAGAACATCCTTCAAGAACATGAGAACCGCCGCCGGCCAAACTGAAGAACCTTCGAGGGTGCTCTCCCCCAGGATGCACAAGAACATGCAACAATCACGAAGAACGCTAGGGTACCCTCCCCGAGCCGACCTCGATCTTATGCATAGCTCGGTCCGACCGTATCGAAGGGCGCGGTTAAACAGGAGGGGGGACCGTCTTCGGGCTGATTGGTGGCCCCTTGGGGCCGTGTTGGAAACGCCTTGGGCATATTTTGTGTCTTGCATCTCTTCAGCCGTGTTGCGTTCCTCTGGGGGCTCCTTGGGCTGTCTTTGGCTACAGTGGGCGCCTTCTTGGGCCGTTTTGGGGATCTCTTGAGCTCATTGGTTTCGAAAGCCCCAGATACTCCAGGCCGTCAGACCGCCGCCACCGCCGCCACCGCCGCCTCCGCCATCGACGACGACAGGCAGCGGCGAAGCAGCAGCCGCAGCAAGAGCAAGAAGGGCAGGATAAAAGAGATGAGAGCAGGAAAAGAGGAGGCGGAAAGGGGGAAGCGGATCCTTCCAGCTCCTGCAACCGCGTCATTCCGCCTCCCTCACCGTCCGCCTCCTCCCGGTCCTCCTACGACGCCGGTGAAATCGACAACGGCGATGGCGACGACGCCAACAATTTCGAAGCGAGCACAATCTCGAGAGCTCCCCAAATGTCGTTTGCGGTCGCTTGAAGTTTCCAGGAGTCCCCAGAAGGTTCCGAAAGCCTACACATTGCCAAACGGATGCACAACAACCAGCAGCATCATCGCCGCGTAATCCTGCCATCTCTGAATTGTGGGTAAAAGACTCCTCAGGGCCTTCTTGAGGCATCGTGGGGGCGTCTGCTAGCCTGCTGGCGGTCTCCAGGCTGCTTTTGGGCTTCTTGGGCCTCGCGGTAACATCGTGAAAAGGGAGCGCTGTGGCCTTCCATGCGTCGTTGCTCGGCTTGTCACTGTCGCACTGCTTCTCCCTGGGTTATTTCTCCCACTTCCCCCCGTCTCTCCGCTCCCCTCGCGACTGCCCCCTCGCAGGTGCTGCTGTCGATCCCCCGTGGGTAGATCCAGCTTCTCCACGCTGCGTGAGCTGGCCCGGCCCGCGCGCTCCCGCCATCTCCCGCCTGACTTGTCCTACGCCGCGCTGTCGCGCGCGTAGCCGCGACACCGAAAGAGTGTGTGTTTGTGTGTGCGTACGTGTGTGTGTGTGTGTGTGTGTGTGTGTGTGCACTTGTTCTTGGTTCCCCGAGATCTTTCAGCTTGGTTCACATTGCCGCACAGGGTCATCGCCGCACTGGAGGTGTGCTTCACCACCGCCAGCTCTATGGTGAAACCGAACATGTGCTTAACGTTGTATAACGTTGTCTCGCACAGCTGCAGGCAAAGAAAAACGCACCGCACTTACCATGCAGGCATACGACTTCCGGGAAAGGATCGGAGGCTTCTTAGAAGCGAAATGCTTGAAAGGTGATTCGGTTTCCATGACGTCCCCTGTCTGTTGAGAAGGCCACCAAACTCGCCCCGTCTCCTTCAGAGCTTCGCCCAGGAAGGCCTGGCGAGACCTCGGTGCCCTTCTTCTGTCCTCGTCGTCGCTTTTCATTAAGATCTTGCCGGCGCTTGACGCTTGGGCGCTTGTCGGACGATCCGCAAAAATCTGCGAGAACCTGATGGCGTCTGGGAGAATTTGGAAAAATCTGGAGGAACCTGGGACAATTCGGAAGAATCTGGAAGAACCTGGAAGAATCGATCATCACCACCACCACCACCATCATCATCATCATCATCATCATCATCATCATCATCATCATCATCATCAGCATCATCATCAGCATCATCATCATCATCATCATCATCAGCATCAGCATCATCATCATCATCATCATGATCATGATCATGATCATTCATGATCATCATCATCATCATCATCATCATCAGCATCATCATCATCATCATCATCAGCATCAGCATCAGCATCAGCATCATCAGCATCAGCATCATCATCATCATCATCATCATCATCATCATCATCATCATCATCATCATCATCATCATCATCATCATCATCATCCCCCCCTCCTCCTCCTCGTCCTCCTCCTTTTCCTCCTCCTCCTCCTCCTCCTCCTCCTCCCCCTCTTCCTCCTCCTCCTCCTGTTCCTTCTCCTCAGAAGGGCCAGCTGCAGGGGACTGACCAAGACCATGGATTTCTGCGGTTTCGCCGTCGGGAGTGTGCCCTTCTTGTCCAGGGGATCACTGGGGAATTCCTTAAGAAGGAGGGGTATAGGTTCATAACGAACGCGCACGACCTCACGAATGCATTCGCTAGCAGCTCTAGGCCACACATGGAGCGTGCCATCCTTGAGCTTTTCACTAATAACACTGTGAAGTTCGGTATCCATAGATTACGTAGTGCACTGGTCACTCTTCGGGGTCATGATACGGATATACATTTATCACCTGGGAGTGGGGGCCTAATGGGGGATGAATTTGCAGTTAATACATTCCTGACAACCTTCATCTCACCGGTTGAAGGCTGGCTTGCCGACCAGCGAAGCTGGGATCTGCTTGCCGATATCCTGTGTGCACGCCTGCCCAGTCTACGCCAGGGGCGGATCATGTTTGAGCCGCCTGCGATTGACTGTTCGCTCACGAAGTATGCGGACGACTTGACAAAGAAACTGGTCCTGTCGAGGGCTGAGGCGATTCACGGTCTTGTCGAACTTAGTCGGCGTGCCAATGTCTCCCTTGACTCGTTCCTGTCTGACGCGGGCTTCGCTCAGAACCTGACGAAGCAAGATACTCTTCTACATGTCTCGGGGGAGGGTGCCGCTCGATTCCTTCGAGGTGTCAAGTCGGGGCGCGTCGTGTTTCCTGGGAAGGCGGTTTTGGAAGCCAAGAGTCTGGGGGCCTGGATGTGCAGTAACCCGCTGAACTTCGAGGTTGAGCTTCGATTCGGCAGGCGTGGTATTATATGGGCGGTTTCTGGACCCTTCGCGGTGTTCCTCATCGGCTGCGTCGGGGTGTCTTCTGATTTCTAAGATCTATAATGTGGCGTTATCGGTGTTGGAGGCGTTTCTCCCTAGTCCTCAGCAACTGCCTCGGCTTCAAACTATTGTCACCATCTATGCTCGCAAGGCTATGCTAGGTCAAGCTACTACATGGGCTGAAGGCCATCATCCTACCTCTCTCTCTCCTCTGAGGCGGTCTTAAGGTGGTGGAGGTTGGTCCCGATTGAACTTGAACTACGGATTCGTCGGCGGCTTCGTCTGTGGCAGAGTCTTTCTCGTGTTCCTGGTGCCCATCGTCAAGTCCTAGCTAGTCTGTTCGGCCAGTTCGGTGGCAGTGCTCTTGCTCGTTCTCCTGTTGTGCTCCCTGATGGACGGTTGTCTGATGATACTTCTTCGTGGACTAGTCGTCTGGCTTCGGATGTCGAGAGCCTGTCCGACCTAGAAGATGGTGCGCCTCTCCCCTCCTGGCTGGATCAACGATATTTCCTGTTGTTTGCCGATCCTGAGTTTTCCACCGAGCTCGTCAAGATCGATGTTCGTCAACTTCGCTCGTCG